GTTCTGGAATCAGAGCAGCAGAGTTGTTGCTCAGGTTCACTACCAGTGCAATGATGGATTTTACAATGCAGGGAAAGGCAATGTCTCACTGTGTACTACTGACGGTTACTGGGATCCCGTAGATATACTCTGTCAAGGTATCACATGAATATTTCTCTTGGCTGATGTTGGTATCCATACGTCTGTCTCAAATAACCCATATTTATTTCACCTATTACGCAGCCCTCATTTGACTACCCATGACTTCTGATTTCCCAGTCAGAAGCTGGTAGCCTCATAGATGTATATGACTGCACAAGGCCGGTCAAAACTTAATACTGTATAATGCACAAATCAGACAGAAACAATCAACCAAAGAAAAACATGTAACCATTCATGGTCAGTTACAAATCAGATCATGTCCCTGATATCTGGGGTTGACTTTGGTGACTTCCCCATTGTCTCTCAGTGCTCTGTTATACCACCAGAATACCTGCATGGGTGCTAAGGTTCATTACTAGTGCCATATGGGATTATATAACATTTGGAGAGGTTGTATTCCTCTTTGTGACCACTAGAGGAACTTGGTGCAGAGCTACAATTCTCTGTGCAGTTAGGGCAGATAATCTGTTCACCTTAATCCACCTAATCATCTTCGTGAAGAATGTAATGAACACTTGTGTTGTGTAACATAACCTCAGGATCATGACTTAGGTGTGTCTTTGACTATGGGTTGCTGGCCTCCCAGTCAGAAGATGTTCTCGACGTGATACCAAAAAATAGCTTCAAGTCAAGGAGTGCAGTTCCAGCAGACTTCTCCGTCTCATCTGTCGGAGGAGATGCACAATACAGAACTAGCTGCGTGAAACAAACTCATTTGTCTCTAGACCTGGCTTGTGTACAAAAATGACAGGCTTTACTAGGTGTGATGCTTGCCTAAATCTGGCAAACTTATATTCCAAGTTAATTTTAAGTTTAGTAAACACACACACCTGTGCTGTGACTAACTTCCTGTTATTACAAGTTTGTGGGTTCCCGTTTTCATATTTCCAGCATGTGGCTCACCTGCCTAAAGCCTCTGTGACTGTGATCAAAAAGTCACCAGTCTGAGTGATGTATGTGGACACTTGAGCAGGGCCCTTAACCCCCAGCTGCATGGGCACCACTATGGGCGGCTGCCAAGCTCGCTATCGCCTAAATATGTGTCTGTGTGTCATGGAGAGCAAGACAGGGCAGAGAATTTCCCCACAGAGATCAATAAAGTACCATTATCTTATCTTAAATGAATGTAATTGTCAGGTGTAGAATGTGGGCTATTGTCACTCTCTAGCTTGCACTGTGTGTTGTTAGATATGTAAAGATACTTTTGCTGTTTAAATAATGGATAATGTGGCGATGCATTATAACTTGTGCCACGTTTTTGCGCTTGTTACAATTACACTAAGGAAGCAGCAGACCTGCCAAGCTTCCACAGAGCGGTGCGATTCTTCATCTTCCCCCTAATCCACTGCTTTCTCCGAACCCCAGCACTGTGCGGTCCTGCCCCCTGGTTGCCCCATGCAGTGGTGGAGTGGCAAAATGGCACAGTGGCGGTGCATCGCTGCCAGGACGGATACCGAAGTAGGACAGGAAGCAACATATCTCTGTGTGGTCCTGCCCAGACCTGGCACGCTGCCACCCTCGTCTGCAGAGGTATGTTGCTGTTTTGAGCACTTGCTGCCTTTTGCTCTCCCTTCGCACTCTGCAGCTGTACAGTAGGTACCTCCTGCAGATACACCCACCCTACTGTCTCGCACTGCACCAGCACATTCAGACTTTCCCTCTGATCGTCTCTGTCCGCAGCCACATAGCTCGCCTTGACTCTCGACCTTTGATGCTTTTCACTCCTTTAAAGTCTGATGCTCTCTGTGTCCTTCTGCATGTTAAAGAGGTTAAGCCACCTATCAGTAAAGCGGAGGTGTTTAATGAGAGCTGCCTACGGTGGAAGGCTGAGATGAATGGTGGACACCATGAACACTACACCGTGAGTCTGCAATACCAGTCCAGTCTTCTTACAGTGTCTCAATCTTTGGTTTTGTTATAGTGATCAATCAATCAATCAATATATCACTCAATTAAATAATAGTATTAGATGTGTGGGCCTCCGATTTAATAAATATTACATTATAAATGTATAGGGGATGGGATGGTGGTGCAGTGATTAGCACTGTTGCCTCCCACCTCTGGGACCAACGTTTGAGTGTCTACCATGGCTCCCTGTGTTGTTGTGGGGTTTCCTTCAGGTACTCTGGTCCCCACCAGTGTAAAGACATGCTGAGGTTAATTGTAGTTACTAGATTGCCCATAGGTGTACCTGTGTGAGTGAATGGCGTGTGAGTGAATGGCGTGTGAGTGGATGGCATGTGAGTGAATGGCATGTGAGTGGATGGCGTGTGACTGTGCCCTGCAATGGGTTGGTGTCCCATCCTAGGTTGTTCCCTTGCACCTGTAGCCTCTGGGATAGGCTCCGGACCCCCTATGAGTCTGAACAGGACAAGCAGTTACAGAAAATGGATGGATGTATATGTATTTCCTTACTAATGGCTTTATATGTTCTAGAATGTAAATCTCACTCTTTCAGACAAAGAAGCCAAATGCCAACTTCTAAGACAAAAATTTTGATTGCATGGTCAGGCATAGTGGCGGCGACATGGTGGTGCAGTGGTTAGCACTGTTGCCTCACACCTCTGGGACCTGGGTTCGAGTCTCTGCCTGGGTTACATGTGTGTGGAGTTTGCATGTTCTCCCCATGTCATCATGAGGTTTCCTCTTGGCACTCCAGTTTCCCCCCCACAGTCCAAAGACATGCTGAGGCTAATTGGTGTTACTAAATTGCCCATATGTGTGAGTGAATGGTGTGTGAGTGTGCCCTGCAATGGGCTGGCCCCCTGTCCAGGGTTGTTCCCTGCCTCATGCCCATTGCTTCCAGGATAGGTTCCAGACCCCCTGCGACCCAGTAGGATAAGCAGGTTGGATAATGGATGGATGGATGGGTCAGGCATAGCAGTATACAGTACCCATAGTACCAAGGTTACAATGCCAAAACCACATTGGTGAACTTAATGGTCACAGAGTACTGCATCTTACATTTTAATATGCCAGTGGTGTTTCTTGCAATGCTTCATAATCTGTTGTATTTCCCCTCAATCAGGTTCAGTTTGTGGGATCCAGGGCTTATCAGAAGGCATTCCAGGACAAACAGATGCTGGTCTTCAAATCAGGAGCTAACAGACCTGAACTCTGTATGAACCTGCTGCCAGGAACCAACTACTCCATAAACATCACAGCACAGACTGCAAATTTCTCACTCACCATCTCCGCCAACACCAGTATCCAAGGTATAACGTGTGCTTTCAATTGAGATGTCCTTTGTTAGGCTGCTGACCCCCTGCGACTCTGAATAGGACAGGTGGTTACAGAAAATGGATGGATGGATGGATGGATGGATGGATGTCCTTTGTAAATGCGAATTAGCGTTAAACAAACAAATTTACCTACAACAGAAGCACAGGGAAGTGAAAAAGGAACAGTTTCTTCCATTTTCTTATAGCTTCTATAACTTTTCCATTGATCACGTGGTCTGCTTGACCACATTTTAATTGAATCTTATTTTAAAGCTCTTTGTAACTTGATTTATCCTGTAATCCATCATCACTCTGAGGTGTCTTGAGACAAAGTAGACAAAGTATTACTGACAGAAGAAACGAGGTTCTGATGGCTCAGATACGGCTCTGGAATTTTCGTCGTCAGCAGATTAGTGAATCGTCAGCTTAGAAGAATGAGATGCTAATCTCTGGAACCAGATTATTCCAACACCAGGAAACAGAATCAGCAGCAGATTTGACAGGCTCTCTGCCAAACTTGTTAGTCACCTCATTGACAGTATCAGTGTCATCACTTGGACTATTTTTACCCTGACTTGTGGCATGATCTTGTCTACTTTCCCATAATGGTGATTCAGTGAGGAAGGAAGTGCTTCTTTGACAGACAGCCAGTGTGACAGCTGCAGTCTAACAGTGTGTCTCTTGGGCACGTGTCTGTTAACATGATTTGGATTATTAGTATACCTTACTACTGGTATGCTGTATGCCTCTCAGATCTTTGGTTTTGTACCAATGTTGAGAACTGTAGGTACTCCCAGAATGCTACGAACTAAACACTCACGTATCACTGCAGCTCCTCCGGTCCCTCATGTCACCTTCAGAGATGTAGAAGGTTCCTGTCCTACTCTTGGACTCCACAGAACCATCCACCCACAGGATGCAATTAGGTGGGTCACTTTAGCCTTCTCATCCATCAAATTCCAGCAACATTAGTAGGCATAAGTCCAATAATGTCAGTATACTACATTATTGACATTGACCATAGATGTAATCATGCCCATATACTACATTAGCACATCTAATCATGAGTTTAACAATTTCATTTTTGTTATGCATGTAGGACTCATTAAATAAGGCTTTGGCACCATAACACTGCCTGTTTTTTTCTCTTTGGGCCTTTGAAGTATCTACCAGGTTTTTGTGCTGCTGCTTGAGGGGAAGGTTGTGTTTGACTGCTCCTCCCCGCACACGCCACACTTTTATGGCTGCCAGGAGCCGTGCCAGGAGTACGTAGCGGCGGAGGTCCAGCTGGCTGGAACTGGGAGAAAGCTTTTCTTCACTGTGGGGGACCACCAGTGGTACGGGGGGTACTATAATGCCCCCCTGGAGAATGGCAAAGACTACTACATAATACTGCGAGCCGTCAGTCAGTGGGCAGGGGTAAGGATATCCTCAGGTTTGTTGTAAGCAGCGCTGAATGGCTTCCTGACATTGGAAGGGCAGGCCAAGAGCTCTGAATGCTCTGTTATGCTTCAGTGGGTGATGACAACCCAACTCATAGACCAACATGAATTTTCTTATGTTGGGGAAAAAAAATACCTATAAAAAAGTCAATCAATAAAAATCAGAATATTTTACGTAGGCGATGAAACAGAGTCCTAAAATCTTTTGCTATTTTTGTTTACTTTTGACCTCTAGGTCAGAAAGCAGTACTGTGTAATCTGGGCAAAAGTCAAGGGTAAGATAATTATATCCTGCTACTTCCCTATTTGTGTGTGCAGTTTTCAAGAGAATTAGGTTATATAAATAGCACTTATGGTACTTATCATGTCAGCATGCTGAGTCTGGTGTATTCACTTAAACAGCCAAGACACTGAAGCATTAACGTACAGTTTTTTTCTCAATTGCTTTAGCACATTTCATGAAACATACTTACATAACATTCTGTTTCTCAAAACAGTGCACATAGCACTGCATATAGCACAAGACTGTGGTTCAGCTGCAAAAGGCCTTAACTCACCCAAAACAATTGACTCATGTCACAAAAGCAAGTAATTCTATAAATGAATTAGTCAGTGCCTCTAAAATGAAAAGTACCTCCAGCACCATTTATGGAAGGGAAAAGAAAGAAAAGGTTAGAATGAGTGACAGGGGCCCCTGAGTGACAGGGGCCCCTGAGTGAACATATCTGGATTGGTCTGGCTTGGGGATAAAATGTGAAATACTTTCATGGGGCCCAGAATCTCTTGCGGTGCCCTTTGTACACATGTAACTTCTTCAAATCTCAAGACAAAGTACAACAGAAAAGGAGTCACACAGATCTTTACAACAACAAGAAATGAGGAAAGTGACTATTTAAAAAAAACCGGAAACAAAATCATGTGCTGTGGGAACCAAAAATACAAAACCATATCACTGCAATTTAGAGAATATATTCTTGAATCAAGAGAACTGTTTTTCATGTGGTAGCTTACACTATAATTACATACATATTTACATCGTTTTAGGTATAAAATTATTACACTGGGGAATTACATAATCCAATTCAACCAACTAGACTTAAGCAACAGAAAATTATGCTAAATGAAATTAATTGTATAAAACCATTTGTATGCAGGTACCAAAAGATTTGTAAATTTGTGTGAAACAATGAGAAATTATGTTCTGCTGTGCAGAAGTGACATCGTGGTGTGGGGATAACACTTATTTTGCAAATGTTAATTATTTGAGAAATGTGTCAACGCAATAGAGAAACACTAATACTTTGTTAAATTTAGTTGAATATCTATTCATCTTCCAACAGCTTATCATATTATAGGCCCACAGGGATATATTTAAAAGAAAACAAAAAACAATGGCTCAGAGTCATGCCTCTTGAAGCTGAAGGAAATGTTTCACAATATTGCCTTAATCCATGTGAAAAAACGGTTACTGAGTTATTTTACCTGCAGGTGCATCCTACATCATTGAATCAGTGACTCTCTTAACTGGGGGATCCATTGGATTGGTTGCATTCATAGTACTTATGGGATATTCATATACCTGGTAAGTTGCATAATGCACACTTAAACACAATAGACATAAAATTTCAAGTACCTTATCAACTGATATTCATGTAAATAAAGGAAGTTGCATCACTTTCCTCTTAAAAGTGAACTGGACCGTTGTTTGCAGTAACAAATTTTCAGAGTCAACATTGGCTATATTTTTCCCTGAATACTTCATGTTGACCAATATCTTACTTAACTTTACACCCCATATGTAGTGACGGGGGGGCAGCGAGTGGCTCAGTGGGCTAAACCTGTGTCTGTGATTGGAGGATTGCTGGTTCAAGCCCAACCTCAGCACATCTGCAGGTCTTTGAGCAGGGTCCTTTACCCCCCCCCGATCTCTGTGTGCTGCTATGGTCTCACCTACAAAGAGCAAGTTGGGGAAGGCATAAAGAGAATTTCCTCACAGGGATCAATACAAGTATCAATTATAATTAATTATATTTACACTAAAATGCATCCCATTGCCAATTTCCAGATTCTAATCTTTAGTTGCCCCATGAGTTCTGCAAATGGTGTATCTTAGCCCTGCAAAAATGCTCATTGGTATATTCTTACATTATAAATGGCCTGGGCTTGCCAATCAGGAAAGAAAGCAAAACATTTCCCAGTGTGTTTATGATAAGAATAAAACATGAAAATTTCATATTTAGATTTCGATGAAAGTATGTATAAATAATCTGTTCAAATGAGTACTGTTTGTTTATTTTCCTGCAGGTACTGTAAGAAGCAATAACAGAAGTTCACAGTTCCCCTTACAGAGTCCAATGTGTATAGTCTTTAATCCTGGGATTGTAATGTGCCACAGCACAACAAATGCAGTAATTACATTTTGAGATTCTGAAGATTTTTACATTGACTTGTATCCATGTTTCAGTTATTTTTTTCTAATAAATCTTAAATTTACCCTACATTATATACCCAAAGTTCTTCATGGATCGTGACTCCACTTCATAGAACATTAACACTTGTAACACCTGTGCCCTTTAACAAGGTGCAGCACATGGCTAAATAATGAAATGTTTAAAAAAAACAATGTGAAATTAACTTGGCAGCTCTCGCATGATTGTGATTATGATTATATGAGTAATTTGTATGGCATACATCCAGTAACCCCCAAATAACAGCATATTTTGCATCTGATAGGCAGAAGAATTTACGCAAGTCCTATACAACATTTCTCAAACTGTAAATAAGTCCTACTCTTGATCAGTGTGGTTGACTTCCTTGAGTGGGAGAATATTTCAAACTGGATTTAAGGAAGCACTTCTTTACACAGCGTGTAGTCAGAGTATGGAATAGTCTTCCTGATAACATAGTGCAAGCTGAATCCTTGGGTTCCTTTAAATCAGAGCTAGATAAGATTTTAACAACTCTGAGCTATTAGTTAAGTTCTCCCCAAACGAGCTCGATGGGCCGAATGGCCTCCTCTTGTTTGTATAGTTCTTATGTTCTTATGTAAAAGTACATGTGAAAAATAAGCCATTGAGCATATAGCATTAGCCACCCACCCCCCCTAAAAGTTCTTGATGGTTCTCTTCTAAAAGCAGACTGCAGTTCTGGTTTAATGGTGTACCGCCTTGCCTTTGTTAATGATAATGCCACAAACAGGTGGATTCAAAATAGTTGATCAAAATGTGTTTTTAAGAGACCCGCTGCACGGTCTCCGCGTATTTAGGGCTCTCTGCGGGGGCATCTCCATTCCCGCCGCTTTGGACGCGTGGAGATCTGCTTCCTTTATAACTCAGTCTTTCTCGGCTCACCAATATAACTGGGATTTCAGCCGCGACACATTGTACAGATTTAGGTTAAGCACTTATAATTTTGTATTGTAGGCCAACCCCCCCAAAAACACACACACACACACACACACACACACACACACACACGCACGCACTCACACACACAAACACACTTTATGTTTCCTATTGGTGCTATTCCCTATTTACAAACCACTTGTCACCACAGCAGCTCAGAGGTCGTCACAATCTCTTCATAGCTTAGGGGCCGAGAGTCTGACTGCATTAAGTTTGCATGCTCATGAAGTGTTCCTCATATTCAGGGACAGGCTCTTCAGATACGCAGGTTATTAACTACACATTTTTTAAATATTATGGTTAAGAGATTAAATAAAAGTCCAACTAGGACACAACACCTGACAAAAATCAAAATGATTGGCAGCAACGAAAACTGAATGTTACGATGCGCTTTACGTTACACTTCAGCATAAAAACAGTGGATTTATGCCTCCAGGAGACAGCAAGAATGTGCTCATGTCCTTGAAGAATCATTTTGTTATTTACATGAACCGATGAAACACGTCATGTTAAAGGTAAGAAACTACTTACATAAGGACTGTACATAAACAGTGAGGTTAATGCCCACTCATTGTAAATAAAAATCCAAAGTCTTGCTGCTATATCATGTACACAAAAAAAACCAAAAAGACTAGGACCTTGAATGTATGTGAGGGCAAAATTCCATATGCAATATTTTCATACATTTTACATTTTCTCACACACACACACACACACACACACACACACACACACACACACACATTTCAATCCTAACTGCTTCAAGAACTGTAATACATCTATGTCTAAAAAGAAGTATCAAATTATGCAATGGGAAACACAAAATAAATACATAAATTAATAAAATCAAAATAAAAAAGGTCATTGACCTGTGATAACTCATATCGTGGTTGGTTGGTTCTACCCGATAACCATGTGTCTAAAGCACTGCTTGTTCTCCAGTGTCTTCTTAAGCCCTTTGGAATGACTGTTCTGGTATAAGTATTTCACATCATCTTCTGAAATCCTAGGCCAAAATGTTCATTATAATCTCTAACTCATGTCTGAATATTCACATAACTACTGCCCATTTCTCATCTGGCTAACACACACGCACCTTATGATACTGTCTCTCTTCAATGGGTTAGAAAGTTCTCTCAAAGGAAATCATGAGTCACATAAGGGGGGAAAAGGTAATATCTTTAAAAAATAATAATAATAAAAATGCCAAGGGCCAAGTCTCTATCTGTCTCATTTTCATCCCTGGTCTCCACACTTTGCTGTTCAGTAGCTTCTTTCCTTTTTTTCGATTTATTATTTTTTTTTTTGTAAAGCTGTACTCAGCTTCTCACAGTCACACATCCAGGATCTCTTCCGCGGTCCCTCCACAGTGCAAGCGGTACCGGCCTGTCCTCCATCGCACAGTGGGGTCCCACAGGGCAGACAGGAAGATCTGGATGGCCATAGACTCCCTGATGAACCAGGCAACGGCATAATCCAGCTTGGAGAAGGAAAGCGGACCCCCCTGATGGAGGAGAGCGTTAGGGTTAGAACCAAACGGATGGATTCAGGCCCATCCTTGACGTTACCCATATTGCATCAATAGCTGGTAAGTGTTTCATAATCCATCCTGCAACATCCATAGTTTTGTTGTTTAAATCTCTGAGCATCCCAAGGAAATCAGGAGAGCTCAGCAGGCTTAAAAACAAGATGTTACTCAACAGTAGAGTGGTGGCTTAATGTACGTCAGTGTTTACAGGCCAAGGCAGGACCGAGACCTACCTGGATGCCTTGCAGCTGGATGTAGTCTGCGATGAACCAGGCCAGACAGTGGCACAGGAAGAAGACCATAACATCCCAGTGGAAGAGGTGATGCGCCGCCCAGCCGATGATGAGGCTCGCCACGAAGCACTCTGCGATGGGCTCGCAGATGGTGCCGGGGAGCATGTTAATCCGGAGCTTGGCCCACCTGAGAGAGCGAAATGGGGAGAGTTGACACAACCCTGGGAATGCCCATGACCTCGAAGTCTGACCCAATATCTGGTTACCTCAAACTGCCACAGTTATATCAAAAACTCCTGAATGAGTAAAAACCAACAGATCAAGATACTGTTAAACCAAAAAAAGAATAAAAAAAAAAAAAATACACTGGAATTTTAAGGTATTTTTGGAATGTCAATGAAATGTTTACAAAGTTATGCGAGAACGTGAATTAACACTGGATATAGCTCAAAATTCATATTTTTACTTTAAACAATACATTTTTATTCCAGCATTGAACACATCCTGTGATTCATTTGTTTAATGATTTAATGGTTAGAAGCTCAGAGAGGTCAGAACCACGAATAGCCCAGCTGCATACAAGAAAAGCCTGCATCTGAAAAAAGGGCACACTGGTAAGACTGGTGGCACTGGTGAAAGACAATGGTCTCAAAACAAACCTGATCATCCGTGACTGAAATTGTGTGATGGAACAGGAACCCGAATTCTGCAGTGCCACCTGCGTTGCCATGGCAAATTTCCAGCCCCTAAGGGACAAAATTTTTTTTTACGGTACATCACAAATACATTAAATACACAAATACAGGAAGGGGTTATTAAAAACAAACATCTGGCAGGCTGTCAGACAGGTTTGAGGATGGAAGATGACAGGAAAGCAGAAAATCTGCGGTTCTCAACCAAAATCATGAAACCCCACACACACCCTTGGGACCCAGACCCCTATGAACCCCCCACTAATGAAAATTACTAGACAGACAAAAGCAATAAAAGGATTATTGAAAAATTAAAACCATCATTTATGATCTATTAAAAGAAAGAGGCTCTAACTGGATATACTCAGTGAACTTCGAGTGACAGTGTTATTTTTAACAGGAGCAAACAAAACATAAATAAGTGAATATATTAGCCTTCACTGAGCCCTTGTTTATATTACAGCACAACATTTATGTCCACTTAGAATGGAGCATTAATTCAAATAGCTGTACTGCTTATAATGGGCTAAATCATAAAGCTTAAATTCTCATTAAAAATTAGCCACACCATGGGTACATGAGAAAGGGAAGTTCTGGCCTCGTGAGAGCCTCTGTTTTAGTTCCTAAAAATCTTCAGTAAGTATTTGTCTGTGATATTTTGGTTCCTGTTCACCAACTATTTAAGGTGTAATGATTTGTATATTCCGGCAATCAATGACAAAATCCTTTAATGTTTTTGCCATTCAGATGAGTCTCAAAAACAAATCAAATGTACCCAACAATAATTTAGCAGTAGTTTGTGAGTTAACCATCCTTGCACCTGCCTGTTGTACTTCACAAATGCTGACAGCTATTTTCCATCCTGTGGGAAGCGCCTCTAATGTAATGGAAGCTCAGGTAACCCAGAACACCACCAACACCAAGCCCACCTGTCTGCGATGGCTTTGGCCATGAAGTAGTCCTCAGCGATGTACTGGGCGAATGCGATGAGGCCGCCAGCCTGGTCCAGAACATCTTTCCTCATGAGGCAGGACATTCCCGTCACGCATTTGAACCCTGTCACATTCGCAGAGATGTAGGAGCGGGGGTGGGACGTCCCGAAGTATACCTATGATGAAGAGAGCACTCATTTGCTCTGATTGCCCAAAGATCATTCAGACAATACAATAATAATAATAATGATGATGATAATAATAACTACATATATAGCAACTACAACATTAATAGTAATACCAATAAAGTATAATATAGAAACCCCATATTATAACATAAAATAATCTGTAGCTATGAAAAGAGACCATCAGAGCAGTGGTCTCCTCATACACATGACCACTATAAAAGCTTCCTTCTTATACACAAGATTCCCTGATTAGCTTCACAGGAGAGGTGTAGCGATGTGCTTATATCTGTCCAACAAAACACCAAAATACCAGTAACTTTTAGAAGAACAGAAGAAATTCCTGTTAGTTTCCACTGTGCCACTGTTAATCTGCATATCTTCTAATGCTAAATTGTTTTTCCCCCCCAAATATACACTTACAACCCAGATAAATCACTTAAAATATTTTTCCCCCCAATGCCTTTTGCACAGTAATGCAAATTTTTACAAATAAACACTTGCCATTAATAGTGTTTGTTTTGATATGAGGATATGTACGCTGAACAGGTATGTGTCATCAACTACAAAAGGTGACATTTTCTTAGTATCTATTGACCTACTGAGATGTTCCAGCGAAGAACTTTAATCTTTAAGCTAACAGAAAATCAATCAACGCGAAATGCTTAATGTTTAGCATGTTAAGTTAACAATGCTGCAATTATGTAAAATTCAAGAGTCAAGCATATTTGGAAGCAATCGAAATGGCTGCTCAGGGATCATGCCTGGAAGTTTAACAACATGCACTCCCCCTCGGCCCTGGAGTTGGCCCCTGAATAACCCAGGGAAGGTAGTCAGAAAGGAACCATCCAAGGCATTTATTATCTCACAATTGCCACCTCCAACAATCCTGAGAGGATCTAATAACGCAAGCAGAAAGAGGGAAATGGAGGATTTTGCAATGCGCAAGTTACCAGAACAACTCCCCAAGCAGGACAAAGCATACATCCACGGAGAATACCTACTACCCTGGGTGAGGTATTGGGCAAGCTGCTTCATTACTCTAAAACACAATGTTACACAAAGTAGCTTTACAGGAAGCTGGACTAATGTAAGGAGTATGCATATTTTAATGACACATTCAAGAGAACAATATTCTGAATGTATTACAATCAGCCTTATGATGCCACAAATGTTGTCACTGCACACATGCAATAACTGAACAAATGTACATACAATGCTCACACGCAGTCTTGGGAAGCTTGCTTAATTCTGTAAAAATGTTGCAGATTTATTGGTTTCATAACAAACGTTCACTGACAAATAATGTGTAATATATCTGCACATATTTTTCATGCAGACATTTTATTGTCAGTGTTTTTTGACTGAGTCCGTCATTCTATTGTTGCCATTTTGCTATTAAGAGCACTTAAAATTATTGGCTCCCAAAGGGTTACTGAACACAAATGTTTGGGAGTTTTATGCTATTGCAATGGTGATACTAATTGAAAAGCACCCAATGAGACTGCTTGGCAATGAACTTAACTCAGAACATTTTAGAACTATAATTTGGGTTTCAGCTCATCAATAATTGAAATTCACGTTTTCTTAAAACTACTGGTTGTTTCTAATGTAAATCTTTCATAAATGGATGAATGAAGTATTGATTTATTTGTTATAAAACCAATACTTTTTCAATATTTTTACTGAATTAAGACGACATTCGATGAGGACTGTATATATAGTTAAAATACAGTGGAAACCATTTATAGTGATCGCGTGTCTGGGTGAAATTGATCGCTATAAGTGGGTGATCATTATAACAAGTTTTTTTCTTCTTTATGTCTCAGGCAGATTACCATGTAGTTGACATTAATATATTTATTACACAAATATATGGTAATAAAACAGACAGCGTCGCTATTTACTTAATTTTATGGATTTCAAAACACAGTCGCTGTTTCAAACACTTCAAATTACAGTACTGTAAAAATGTAATTACTGAACTGTGTATAATTCTATAATTTGGGCTCATAAGTTTAAGAAATGTGAGGGAGAACTAAACAGACACAGCAGTTTCAGTAACAAAAAACGGGGGGTGGCGGACAGTGACAGTTTCTAACACTAATAATAAATCATCACCATCACACAATCATCACACCATCGCCATGCAAACCACACCTACAATGAGCAGTGAAGAGAAGAGCAGGATTGGAAATTCATTTCATTAAACTGGTTTACTAGTTTATATATATATTATACACACACACACATATATAAACATAAACACATATACACACATACACACACATCATGAGGAAGAGTAACACTCACCTGCTCCAGGGTGGCAGCGAAGCCTTGCCTGTCGGCCACATACGGCAGGCCGTGAACAAGCCCCACCTTCTCTGTCATCTGACTGGCCATATCGGTGAGGGTGTCCTGTTTCACTGCACAGACACGGAGTATAACGGAGGGAAGAGCATCACCAATGATTATCTTTTCAATATGATTCGACTTAATACATGGTTGGTATTGCGAGTACCGATTCTAGTGTTTGGTGCGGGGGGGGGGGCATCAATTCTCCAAATGACATCATGAGATTTGGACCGAAAGAATCATTATTTCAGTGTTGATCTGCACATCCATATTAAAAAGTTAAAATTGTACATGCATTATTAACTGTGGTAATCATCAGTCATTTGAGATTTAAAAAAACGGCTGTTATATGTAAAAGAGGGGTCAGGTAATCTGTTGCACAAAAACCCCCCCCTCTTCGACAATATAATCGGGATGATTGCCTGCCACATGCAATGTGAAGGACAATGCCCTCGTGACACTACTCACCACGTATTCCGCTGTCACAAATCCAGACGAGGTCATACTTGGCCACCACATAGCCCGGCATTAAGTTGTTTATCTTGGGATTGATGCCAACTTTCTTTCCACCTATAATACACACATTTTGTTGTTATTGCTTTGTTTGCAATCAGTGAGCCATTGCTATGGGAAAAAAAAAACCTCTAGCAAGACAAATGTGAAAGAAAAGTGTTTTTAAAATGTGGCCCTTTTCATTATACACCAACGTTCACAAAGAGTGAACAAAAAAAATAGCTCTTACCAACAAACAGCCTGGCATCCACATTAGGATATTTTCCAAGAAGTCTTTTACACACATTGATAGCAGGGTCATCATCATCTTGCACGCAAAGCAGAATTTCATACTGCAAAAAATAGAAAGTGGAAGTGAAATTTTAATCCAGACATACAGAGACTGACGCAAACTATTAAATTAAATCCAAATTAAAACTAGCCCCAAAGAGACAGAAAACACTGGGCTATACAGAAAGGTAAGAAAAATTATTTATTTATTTTATATATATATATATATTTTTTTATATACACACACACACACACACACACACACACACACACACACACTGATATTCATATCAAAAGGAGCCATTCGCAAAGCATACGGGTCTATTATTTCACCTTATATCATGAATTACTGAAATTTAGTGCCATGAAAAAAAAACACACATAGCTACTTGTACTGTACACAAAGATGGAATTCGAGGGTATAGTGATAATGTTGATGTAGCTATTATGGGATCATGGTGAAGTGTGACAGTGACAAAAGGATGTGAACAGCAGCAATTAGGACTTCTTTGCTACATTCTGATGCAGGTTAGTCGTGATACTAGGTCTTTACTTGAAAACTAAACTTTCCTGAGAGGCTTGATGAAGATAGGGACATACTGGTAGATGGGGGGAAAACTATATAAAATACACACAGCCTTTCATACAGGCATATACAAATTAAATATATACAGGGATATGTGCAAACCACAGTAAGTGAAGGAAAACATATTTAAACAATGTAAAATTTATTAATGCATGTCAATTTCAAATTTCTTCCAATGCTAAACCAGATTTCAGTTTAAGGTATAATGCTTGAGCATCTGACTCACACACAAAAAAATAATTCCAACATGGGAGACAAAAAAAAATTAAAGCGTAAAGATGCATTGGTTCATCGTGATGAATCAAGTATTAAGGCGGCAATTCAAATGTATTGATCTGTAACATCAGAACTTTTCGTGGAACATACTCCTTAAAAGATGAAGATACTCTTACTTTCGGGCTGCACGTTCTCACATTCACACGTAGGCAAGTCGGTCTGCAAAATAGCAATGGTGGTACACAAATTTCTTAAACGTGGGACCCAGGAGAAGGTTCACGAACGTTCATAAAGGAAGCACTACCAGACAGTGATCTTTGTACAATAGCTTTTGGGAAATTCCCCTGTTTAACCACTCACTCAAAAAGTTAAGAATTCTTGCACTGCAAAGCTTTTTGGAAACGCCTCTTTTGCAGTGCACACAGTAGCAGTGCAATAACTATAGTAGCAGTGGTTAACACTATGAGGTAGTTGATTAGCCAGCTAAGTAATGTTTGCTTTACATAAGCATGATATACTGTATAGGTCAATATACTGGTGTCAGCCTATACTCATTAAAAATCAAGATAACTAAAATGCTGCAAACTGTTAGAAAAATCTAATTAAGATGTTGAAACCACCTTTATGGCAACGATTTACACCCCTAAATATAGGGATGGGTATCGAAACCTTGAATTAAAGAGGCCCCAGGCACCGCAGTATCAACAAGCTCTGACGCTCTCTTTTCTGTTTTCAGAACTGAAGAAATTAAGGAAATAGATTTCCTATTTATTATTGCTATATAAAAGTTCTCTTGCATATTTCATTTTTCCAGTGCAGTTTCTGATTGCATTTTCACTATTCTAATCCAGAAGATAGATCTCTCTTGGAGGCTCTGGGTGAGGGGAAGGATACTGGGGAGCTGAGTCAGTCTCGCTCTCTTTCTCTCTCACACACACAGCAATGTGCAGCACACACACAGAAACCCTGCTTTTAGTGATGATGGCAGAGAGAACTAAACATTCAAAAGTGTGGTAAAAATTTCACTAGACTCGATGCTGACAACGCTCGTAGCCACAAGTGCAAAAAGTCCTTTGCATATAAGGGCGGGAACACAAGCGACCTGTCGAAACATCTAGCGAAAGCCTATCACATGCATATGGAGAAATGCACAATTTTCGACTGGCTAGCTCATGGTTTATCTAGCTCTGCCCCACTTATGTCAGGAAAACGGAGCCCACAAATGGAGCTAACTAAATTACATGAACATGGATTAATGGATTTGTCATAAATAAAAAGTACAGATAAGAGTACCGTTAAAGTACTGGGTGGATAAGCAGTATCAGTAAGAGTAGTTCATCCTTATCTAAATAAAAGGCTTATATTCAATTATTTTTATGTAAAAATAATTGGACTGTCAAAAAGCTACATTTTCTTAGAATTGACTTATGGATTCAATTTAAAAAGGTGAAAAAGTATTTTTTTTTTAAAAATCACTAAATATGAAAAACAATGCTGCCACAAATAACAAATAGCATAATCTGTACTGGTTTGCATGTTAAGACCTAAACCCAGTGATGCATGACACTAAAAACTAATAAAATGTCTGTTTCAAAATCAGTTTTTAAAAATAAGTAACGAAAAGCAATTCAAGGTTAAACAACCGTATGCCATACTAGAGGAACAGTATTAGAATGAGCATATCAGGGCAGCATCAAAGACGAAGAGGCCTGAAAGGGCTGTCAGGACCTCGCTAAATTCCCCGAGGATCCAACAAAATGCGATCAAGCATAACTTGGCTTTAAATTCAGTTAGAGCTCTTCCTTCACTCTCATTAAGCCAAAAACACAACTGACTAAACAGACTAAAACTAACACTTGGTCATTAGGTGCTCATTCCATTCTACAGCATCAATTTGAACACATAAGTTGGAGGGCATTACTGGCAAAGGCTACCTCAGACTCTCATAAAGACATTGTTCTATACATCTCTTCTGTACCTGATTAGGCCTATAGCAGTCTGACAATGCATTCAGTGCTAACCAATAAAAAAAGCAATGCACAGCTACAAACAACAGATTGAAGAAAACTTCACTCACAACCACAGGACGCAGACTAACGACTATCTTTCTATAGATTCATCTATTGACTATTTTATTTATTGGTCAATTAATCAAAGCAATTAATTTTCCTCCAGAAAATCAACTTGACCGTTCAATTTCATTTTATTTTGACAACAACAAACTGTGTCATTACAGGGCTTCAGATAGAGATTTTCGGCACATACTCTGCTAACTTTTGGGCATCAATCTGTATCAGTTTGGTATATCCTCATGCTTAAGAAATTCTTTTAGGGGAGCTTTTTTATATGGTTCATTTTTATTTCAGTTTGCAAATTATTTTCTTTTATTTAGTGGCCATTTTCATTTGTTTTAGTTTATGATAATGACACTGGTCCAAACAACTCGAACGAGCAAGGACACACAATGGCACAATCAACATAGCATAAGTCAATATTTTAACCTAAACATTTTCACAAACACATATTCAATGGAGATTCTAATACAGCATGCAGACAGCTATATGGCTTTAATAATGAGTGCATGTAGCACCTACAAGGATAGAAAATGTTAAAAAGCTCTCCATTTAATGCTAATTTAACAAAACATGAATAGACAGCACTTAGAGTGGTTTTGCCTACTCTGGCTGTCCATCATCCAGATTAGCGCTTGTGCATTTTCTCTTCAGATGCTTGGGCATAGCGCTAATGTTGCTGTGGTATGCCATCAAACTTTGCACAGTGTAAAAACCACCTTTTCTGTGATAATTTGAACTACACAAATAACGTACTTAGATTTTCCAGAAGGCCTTTGATAGTGTCCCCCACAAACGGCTCTTGCTTAAGCTCAAAGCTGCAGGGGTTTTAGGAACTGTGGCAGCTTGGATCAAAAACTGGTTAACAGACAGGAAGCAGCGAGTAGTTATTAGAGGCACAATGTCACAGTGGGCCTGCGTTCATAGTGGGGTACCACAGGGTTCAATTTTAGGACCACTGTTGTTCCTAATTTACATTAATGATATTGACACAAATACATACAGTAAACTTGTTAAATTTGCAGCACAGAGGCTACAACGGGATATTTGTTTAATTAGCAACTGGGCTGAGACCTGGCATGCAGGGAGCAGAAATATAAATTTATGGGTTCCACTGAAATAACGGTAGCTGATTATGAGAAAGACCTCGGTGTGTATGTTGATGCTTCCATGTCCCACTCTCGCCAGTGTGGGGAAGCAATTAAAAAGACCAAAAGGATGTTGGGTTAGATCTCTAGGTGTGTGGAGTTTAAGTCAAAGGAGGTGACGCCACGATTATACAATTCCTTGGTAAGACACCACCTAGAATATTATGTGCAGGTTTGGTCACCATACGTTAAAAAGGATATTGCTGCCTTGGAAAAAGACCAAACGTAGAGCTACAATAATGATTCCTGGTCTTAGAGGAATGTCTTGTGGGGAGAGGTTAGCTGAGCTGAATCTGTTCAGCCTCGTGTAAAGGAGATTAAGGGTGGACATGATCCAGGTATATAAGATTCTACCAGGTCTGGATGTTGTTCAGGCAAATGGCTACTTCAATATTAGTTTAAATACTAGAACTCGTGGCCATAGATGAAAATTAGCGAACATTTTAAACTGAATTTGAGAACACACTTCTTTACACAGCATGTAGTTAGAGTATGGAATAGTCTTCCTGTTCATGTAGTGCAAGTTAAAACCCTGGGTTCCTTTAAATCAGAGGTAGATAAGATTTTAACAACTCTGAGCTGTTAGTTAAGTTCTCCCCAAACAAGCTTGATGGGCCAAATGGCCTCCTCTCGTTTGTAAATTTCTTATGTTCTTGCGTAGTGATATTAAAGACAAATATTTGTTATAATGAACTGAAGCATTTTAGAAATCGCAAAGGTCCATTTTATTAAAACAAAAAAAAATATATATTTTTTTTTTTAAATACTAATGTAGACCCAGTCGATGACATCGTTGCTGGAAATGTTATCTAATTGTGGCAGCCATAGTGGCAGGGAATTCAAGGAAATACAAAATACAAAACAACAAGTGCAGCTGTCTCTACAGCACTGCATCCCTCCCCAACAAGCTTCCCACTTCTACGCTCCCTTTGAGATGGACAAAATCCATGCCCTCCCCAAATGACCAGCCCCTTACATTCTCCACCACCAATGTGCAGGCCATACTAAGTAATGTCAACACAAGCAAAGCTACTGGATTGAACAGCACTCCTTGTTGTGTGCTCAGGGCTTGTACTGATCAGCTTTCAGGGGACTTCATAGACATATTCAATCTGTCTGTAGCCTAAGCAGTTGCCCCTACATCCCAAGACAATGATCGTTCCTGTACCAAAGCATTACACTGCCAACATCATAAATTGCTCCTCCTCCTTGCAATGATGATGAATAATCTGATCTCAAATCTAAAGTGAACCTGATTTCAAAACATTAAACCGTTGTTTTGACATATTTCCATTAAAATGTCATTGTAAATCTAAACTATTGCACAAATTTTTTTTCCGTGTTCAACGACACCCCCATATCAGGATCAAGTCCATTAGAATTTTCCTAGAGAACTACATATCTTCATCAAAAAGATCTTTAAGTTAATTTTTAAATAAAGCTTTGAAGTTTGTAATTAAATTCTTCAGATAATGCACAATTCTTGAACAAGCACCACTTTCCAGTGTATTAAAACCATGCAGTATCACTAGCAAATGCTAAGCTTACAGCAAGAGGACCAACGAATAATCACAAGGCCAAATCATGAGACCAGCCATTTCATCAGATGCAATCACATTATTGTGATAAATCGGCTGACTAAGCACTAAAGATGTCCAGCACCCGATCTAGCTCACATTTCATACTTAAAGTCTCATGCAATGGTCAGCTGACATCCTGTGCTTCATTTTACTTCCATTTCTGGTAATACCCATGATTAACCACAAAGCACTATTGTGTGGGGTACAACCTTCCAGCACCAACCACATGCTAAAACTGGTGTCCTACATAACATCAATAATAACCAAAATTCAGATCACAAGACATTTTACACAAAGAAAAAAAAACTGAAAAAGATCAGTCTTATAACAGACGCACAATCTGGCAGTTATGAAACTATTAAAAAATAATAATAATAAAAACATTTTTTAAAAACTTTGGATTCAAAGGAGGCTGAATGAGACAAAACTGCTTTAGTTCTAGGAAAGCAGCTTTCAAAAGTCTGATTTTAGCATTTTGGAATTGCTGTTTTTGCAGTAACTGGAATTGCGGCAAACAATCCTAACTGTCCACATTTACTGCTAATGTTATGGCAGCACTTCTCCCACAAACTGATAATCTGAATTTTTCTGTAGATGTTTTCAGCAACAATATTTAATTCCAATCCTGGTGGTCAACAGACCAGTAGGTTTTCCAGTTCTCATTACACTACTAAGACTGCAGAAAGGGAGATAAACATGTTCAGTGTGGACAAATTCTTCAGTGAGGTGAGGTGGGTCAGTGTCTGCAACAGCAGCCGGCTGAATACAACCCTTAAAAGTCTACAGGGAACAAAGATACCTTGGGGTAGTCAAGCTCAAAGAAGGTCTCCAAGTTACTAAGTAGGTTGGGGTCCACACCCTTCAGGGGCTTCAGAAGAGACACTCCTGGAAGCTTGCTATATGGCTGTTTGTCTGGGCTCTTCTTGTGGAGGTGAAGTCGACTGCAGGGAAACAAAAGAGGAAGATAGTATCAGATTACTGAAGGACTTATGCAAGGTGAATATTTATGTCACAGACAAAGAATCCTGCTGGTCTCCAACCTTGACGTTTACTACATGAATGTACACCTTTAATTACTTACATTCCTACAAATACTTCTATCCAACCCAGTGGGCCACACAGTCCCCCAGTACGTCTCAGTCAAACTTGACAAGCATATGCTTTTACAATTTCGGCCAAACATTCATACACAAAATCTCTGGCAAGACTAAACATGCAAAATAATCTCGATTTTTCAAGATAAAATACCATACTACTTACAGTGTACTAAGTATTTAGTTTAAGAACACACTGTCTTAATGGTGTAATACAGGTGTAGCGTCATCACCTTAAGATGGGTCCTGGAAAATGTGACACTACAACCTAACGGCACACACCCAATATTATGCAACACTATAGTGACAGTGCATGTTCCAGCAGGCACTACAAAGCATCAATACACAATCACATTCATGAGTAAGGCATTCCAGAGTAACTAATCACACCGCATTTGTAATTCATATCAAGCCAAGAATCTCTAGTTTAATTTATTACTTCAATACCAAATTTCTAGCAATTTATACAGCTTGCTAAATTATTAACGGCTATGCTTCCCATAAAAAGTGTGGACTCATGGGTTTCCATAACCACAGAGCCACTACTGACTGCAAAAATTAACAAACGCCCGTGTCCCAGTGATTATTGCCCTACATTAACGCGGACGAATGCCGATATTAGGGTTACTGTAGAGAAAAAGCGAGAGTAGCTGAAGCGAATCCAGCTGTAAACACTGTTATAATGACAGGGAGCGAGCAGAACGGCCAGGGGGAAGATGACTATTAATATGCCCTGTTGAAATGACAAGGCCGGGGCTATTACTGTATTACCATAACCGACATCACTTCGCCGACACGCGACTACAGCCGTATATCTCCCCCATTCTAATAAGACACAGCGAGACGCCGGCCGCTGGCTACTTTCAAAAACGTAGCTTTGTACCATGCTAGACTCAACACCTCCCGAAAATGTCTGTACGGCGGCAATGGAGGAGAGCCCTGCGGCACCACGAACCCTGCCAGTGATGTCATGGCAGAATGCGACTAACGTTATCTATCTAACTAGCTAGCTAGCTAACGAATCCCTCGTCAGGCATTCACCACCCACTGGCCGTGACTACACCAGTTCAACGTTTTCTGCCCAATCAGACATACAAGACTTTTCTTTTCTTTTCTTGAAGCCGTTTTATAACCGTTCGTAACAGATTAACTAGCAGATATTTATGGAAGGATCTACCACGGACCCGTCGGCTCAAGAGATGGCTAAAAAGCTGACTACCGAATAGAGAACAGATTGCACAGTTGGCTAGGTAATTATTTCAATAAATGGAAACACATATGAACAGACGTGTATAATACAAACATATTCCTAAATAAAGAAGAAACGACGTGTTACCCCATGCGGCGGATGTATCTCGGTACAAACGTAAAGGGTAATACTTACACATAGATAATAGATATCAAATGCATCAGCCAAAGAACAATAAACAGAATTAATCCGAATAAGGCAAGCCCTTGTAAAGCAAGCTCAAGCGGGGCCATGTCTAGCACGTAATTTGTCTAAACCCCACTAAAAGTGCTCTGCCGAGCACCGGAGAGGTTACCAGCTACCTATACAAAGCAGGCAATCATGAGACACTGCGGAAAACCCAAGCTCGCGAACGGCGTATCTTGGGCGTTGCTTCCTTCTTCTTCGTCGCCACGTCCGTTTTCTTCATCCGTTTCCCACTAGTTTTTTTAATGGACACGACGCCTCCCTGCTGCCACCGTCTGGCTGGAGGCTGTATTTGCCTTCCAGAAGGTCTTCGAGGCTGCGCTCTAAGCGTTTCCATATTGTTCCATCCGTCTATCTATCTTCTGTACCCACTTGTCGTGTGTAGGGTCGCGAGGGTCCGGACCCTATCCTAGAAACCATTGACACAAGGCAGGGAATAACCAAGGATGGGGCGCCATTCCATTGCAGAGCATGCACATTAACATCGATGGACAATTTCGTAACTCCAGTTCATCTCTGCATGTTTTTTGGACTGTGGGGAAAAAACCCGAGAACTTGGAGAACACCACACGACGACACAGTGAGAGCATGCAAACTCCACACCGGGGAGACTGGAACACCGGTGTGAGGCCACGGTGCTAACTACTGTGCCACCATACTTCCCCTTTGATGTTTTCGTTCCTGTTCTTATTATTATATAGTGGTAATATATGCTTGAGTTTGCTGCTTTTATACTTTCTTCTCAATGATTAATTCATGGTTACCATTGAGATCAATCCTTGTCCACCGCAAATTTCCAAAGCAGCTCCTGCCATCACTCCGCTCTGTCACAGGCATATTTGTTAGTAGAACAAACATCTGTGCTCTGAACACAGACCTACTCTTTATCAGAAGCACCATCTGTTGGCTTTTACCAAAGGCTTCCTTGTATAGATTACCTCTGCTGGACAGATATTAATGGAAGATGGACACTACTTAAGCTAATCAATAGCACAGTGCCGACTCAATGGCACAGTGCCAATACGACAGGCTGTTTCTCAATACTGGCAGGCTCCAAGATGCTTGTTACTAGTTATGCTGGAGCAGGAGACCCAAAAGGTGCTTTGTCTATGCAATAAAGATCATGCTGTCATCTGCAAACCGATTTTTTTCTTTTTGACACCCTCATAATACAACATTTACTAATTAACAATGGCAAATTCATTACAATTTTTGCATGAAACTGTTTTTCAGCAGTTGCAGACAATTGATCATAAAAGATTAAGCATTGTTGTCTTTCCTTGCTAGACCCTCTCCTAGTCAGGACCTGGCACACGGCAGGACTGAGCCCTGTAACTGATGACATGACAATGGTTTCAGTGTAATTTTGTTGGCATGATAATGATTTAATGGGAATTTTAACCAAGATTAAAATACAACCACACCCTAAGCAATTGCACTACTACAAAATAACAAAGAAGAGCAGAAAATGTGAAATGGAGCTGGCCAGATATGCCAGTACAACTGTGACTTCATGGTGGCTTTCAGGCCAGTGCAAATAATAAGTGTGTATAACAACAAACAGCTGAGTCATCAGAGATAGATGCAGGCCACAGTTCTCAGGCTGAGAGGTAGCAGTTTTCATAGGGGTCAAGGTCAAAGACGAATTTTGATTTCTGATCCTTTCAGGCCTGATCTGTAAAAACCTGATATAGAGAAACAACTTCTTGTAATTAATCTAGGGTACAGTAATTGATCATGGTATACCCACGGACATCCACGACTGAACTCATTTCTGAGTAGTACAGCATGCACAGAGGCTGAGAGCATGTGATTAAAAGCAGGGTCGTGCCCCCAGCAGCAGAAAATAAACTTTGTCAGTTAATTTATGTAAAAAGCATTACTATAGCACAGGGTAATTAACTAGCTCCTGCATCTATCTTATAGGAAAATGTCTAATGTGACGGAAAGTATTTCTGCTGATTCTTTTCATTCGCTCTTTGTTGCCCCCTCATCAAATGGCACCCTAGGCGGACGCCTATGTCACCTATAGGGTGGGTTGGCCTTGCTGCTACCTTTAACTGCCATGGGCTTTAGAAGACTTAACAAAAGACAGTGGTTTTTTTTTTGATGTGGGACACTGCATAAAACTGAACCACTTCCAAATGACTGAGGAGACATTGTCAGTTTTAGAGACAAGCTCCCTGACGCGTGTTCTGCCATTTTGCTGCTGAGGGCTTCTGCCCCAGAACACAAGGCAATTTAAGAGAGTGGGTCCGGCGTGCTGTAAGTAGCCGGGCTAAAGTGATTCGTGATTTTCATTTTACACATCATCCTAAACCGAAAACTCAATTTAATGAACAAAATTGAATTGTCAACCAGCTCTAGTTACAAGCAAGCAGACAGCTGCATCTTTCTTGCCAGTCACAGCAGGTCTTTCACCATTGACTGGTGCTGGTCCACAGTCTGAGAAACGCTGGAGTAGAGAATTCCAGTACCCCTGACCCAGTGCCCCTAACCCAGGCTACTGATCTGTTCTTGGGTCCCAGGCCATGTCTCTGTCCCCTGAATCACTCAGAGATTCCACCCCATTTATCCTGCTGGCTAGATGTGTCTATGCTTCCTGCTTATGAGCTTGTTTTTGACTGGAACAGAATTAAATTTATTTAGGACAGCATAACTATGACGTGCTAATGTTATAGGCCTAAATGAATTGCAATGACAAGAATGAAGATTTGCAAAAAAATATATATCATTGCATCTATAAGCAAATAGATTGACTTCAGCCCATGGTTGGTCTTTAAATGCCTCCAGCGTCTACATATTAAATTAGCATGCTGATCTTAAACCTTTATAGAATATATGACATCATGCAGTTTAAGAATATTAAAATGCATTGTATTGATCCCAGGGGAAAATTCTGGTATATAAAACAGCAAGAACATAGTGCACAGATGAACATGCAAATAGTGCCAGACAGACATTGAGTAACGACAGCAGACATCGCAAATAAGTAGCATTTAGCATACAGTGGTGAATGAGCCAGTGACTAAATGTGCTCCAAAACACCCTTTGCAGCAGATGGGCAGAACTGTTCATACTAATTTTGCCAACATCTTCTCAGTATCCAACAGCTGGAACATTTGTAACATCTAAGCCATTTAGTCAGAAATCACTAGTGGACTGAGGCAATTTGTAATTTCATGTAAAAGCCCGGTCATAATCAGCAGTGTCTATAAACCTGAGGAGTCCCTTAATGCGTTCAGTGAAATCAGGGCACTACACTGTCAGAAAAAAGTTTGTACCTTTGCTTGTCACTGGGGCTGTACCCTCAAGGGCCTGCCAATTGTACCCTTAGCTGTAGGTAAATGTACCTTTTAAGATACAGAAATGGACTATGAGGAACATTTTTATACCACTGAGGGTACATTAATGTCCTTTGTACCTTGGGGATGTTCCTGAGTCCATTTCTGTACCTTACATTTGACTAAAACATATATTTACCTACAGCTAAGGTATAATTGGCAGACCCTTGAGGGTACAACCCCAGTGACAAGCAAAGGTACAAATTGGTAATCGGGAGGAACGATTACCAATCCGCTACAGCAACAGCTACTCCCAGAGTATGGCAGCCATCAGAGTGACCAGACCGATAATAGGTATACCCAACTACAGAGACCTGGCCACTCCCCAGTTTGCGTAAATCAGAGAGTGCCGCAAAAATGCGGAGTTTATGAAGCTCCTCCAGTAGCAGAGGAAGATAGTCATCATGCGCGAGAGACAAGACGTTCCACGTGCCAACCCAAATGGGCTGCCTCAAACTGGGACCCAAATGGGCTGCCTCAAACTGGGACCCAAGTGCCGCCATGCAGCAGGGGCTGTCTCTCCCCAAAACCCTATTTGCTCTCTGGTGGTTTACTGGGTGCCCTGCACCTGAAAAAAAAAATCAGTCACCTTAAATGCATAAAAAGGTCACTACAGTAATTAATCTCTAAGGATATAGTTTTCAGGACATTATTTTTATTTATAATAAT